GTAAAAAAAAAAAAAAAAAAAAAAAAAAAAAAAAAAGGAAAAACCCTTACTCATGCCTCCGCTTCTTCTTTTCTTCTTCACGCCTTCTCCTCCTCCGTTTCAGCAGCTCAGTGTCGCCGCCCCCTCTCTCCGGCTCACTGCTGCCAGTGCCGCCGCCGCCGCCACTGTCGTATGTCTTCCGTTCTGTCGACGGAGCCTCCTCCCTCCTAATGGTTTTGCTCTGATTTTCTACTTTCTTGTTGTTGAAGGTATTCGTCCAATCTCCATCTATGTCTTTCTTCTCACTTGAAAAACACAATTAGAACTTCTCTAATGAAAAAATAGACGAGTTGTTTCGTTTCTTTTTAATAACAATAGATGAATTGCAACGAAAATAAGAATCATCCTTGCGGAAAATTGGGACTTGGATTGTGTTGGCTGTTTTGATTCTCTTTTTCTGGAGTATATGATTAGATAATGCCTTTGTTGGTTTGTTTTGATTATGAATTTTCTGGGGTGGGTGATCTGATTTGTAATGGTAATACAAAATTTAGATGAAATCAAACAGGGCCAGTAGGATCAAATCCACCATCTGGAAACCAGGTCATTCTTCACGCAGAGGAAATTTTGAACAATAACAAAAACATCATATAGCAACCAAAGCTGGACAAAAAAAAAAAAAAAAGGAAGAAACTCGACTCACATAAAACTCTAGCCTTGTAATTTTATAGCTTATTTGCACAGCACATGAGCCACATAGTTGCCTACTCATCTCAAGTTAGAAGCTACTCATCTAAGTAAAGAACAGAGTATTAATGGCAGGGACTAAAATAGACCTTTTTTTTCTTTTTCTTCGTACATTACTTTTGTGTTTACTGGCCAAAGTTTTAAGCCCCATAGAAACTGTCTACCTGAGAATGTCCCTTGGCCCGTTGGTCCTGACACAAAGTTAGAATTCTAGCTCTTTTAGAGTGGTATCTCACTGATGGCTCGTGCCCCACCCATCGAGCAGGGACAAAAGTCGACCTTAGTGATCCGACGACTCGTCGAGATTGAAAAAATATAATTAGAATCAGACTAAAATAGACCTTTTTTTTTTTTTTTGTAAGTTTAGGTACTAAAATAAACCTTTTGAATGTTCTTGAACTAAATTGTAGCAAAATCTTAAGTTTAAAATTTTGCCAGATTTGACCAATTTGGAATTTTTTTCTTAAACATGATTTCAAATCCTAACTGAATTTGAATTCCTTACCTTTTGTAGGCATCTCAGTGGCTTCTACAACTTCCAAAGGTCAGTAGTTTTCATTATGTTTGAAGAAGAATGGAAGTCCCTTTTCCCAATTGGCACAGTTTTCAAGTCTCCCCTCCTACTCTCTGGTTCTTCAGCTAAAGACTCAATTGGTCCAGTCGTGTTCAATCCTATTTCAACCTCTCTCACCCGCCTCTTTTCCTCACGTTCTTTCTTGCCTTCTCTTTCTCCTCCTTCAATTCTCAATCTATACAGATTTCTTCACACTTCTTCATCTGTTGTTCCCTCTACTTCTTCCACTGTCGTTTCACTCTTTGGCGAGCAACATAACAACGATGCTGCTTCCACTCTCCGCTACAATCGCCTCCAATTACTTCGATGCCCCAATTCTAACAGTGTTGTTGTGTTCTTTCCAACTGGCCCCAATTCCGACCGTGTTGGGTTCTTGGTGGTTTCTGGCAATTGTTCGGGTTTGAGTGTTCAATCCGATTGTGATAATGATGTTTTTAGTGTTGAAAGTGAACTGAAGTACCAAATTTTGGGAATTTCTGTTAACCCTGTTTCAGACTTGAGATTTGATGGTGATTCCTTTATAGATATTGGGTTTTTGTTGGCATATACCATGTATTCTGTTGAATGGTTTATTGTGAAAAGTTATGCAACTGATTCGAGTTTTCTGCCAAAGGTTAGTTTGGTTCATTTGGGTAGCAAGGTTTTTAAGAGTTGTTCAGTTGTTCATGCTTGCTGGAGTCCTCATTTGTCGGAAGAAAGCGTGGTTTTGTTGGAAGACGGTAGCTTGTTCTTGTTTGACATGGAGCCTCTGTTGAAGGCTAAAACTTGCAGTACTTATGCAAATTTGAAAGGAATTAGGTTGAGAGTGTCATGGGATACTTTCGATTGCTCGAAAAAAGTGAAGTGGTTGAGTTGTGAGTTCAGTTGGCATCCGAGAATCTTAATCGTTGCCCGTTCTGATGCTGTTTTATTGGTTGATTTAAGGGAGGACGAGAGTAGCATTTCTTGCTTAGTGAAGATAGATCTGTTCCACTCATATTCTTTGGCTCAAAGGGAACAATTCCTTGCATTTTCTAAAGCGGGTTCGGATGGTTTCTTTTTCACTGTGGCTTCAAATAGCCTGTTAATTCTCTGCGACATACGTAAACCGATGTCACCGGTGTTGCAATGGACTCACTGTCTTGATGAACCGAGCTACATGAATGTTTTTAGCTTGTCCAAGTTGAGGTCTAGCGCAAGCAATGGTCTGTACAGATCAGCTTCTGAGTCGGGCTATTGCATTATACTGGGATCCTTCTGGAGTTGTGAGTTTAACATCTTTTGCTATGGACCTTCACCACCAACACTTTATCAGTCTGTTTCTTCAAGAAGTTCCAAATATTTTCAGCCGCTTTATGCGTGGGAGCGCCCTTCGAATCTCATATTATCCGGTCGAGAGTGCTCGTGCGGCAGTTGCCTTGTGAGACAAGAAACTTTCAAGGATGCAATTCCTGAATGGGTAGAGTGGCAGCAGAAGAAGGAAATAGTGCTGGGCTTCGGCATCTTAGATACTGATATCTCTCCACAACTTGCAGGACAAAATGAACATGGTGGTTTTACACTTCTGAGGCTTGTGTCATCTGGAGCACTTGAATCACAGACTTATCAAGCCTCTTGGAACTCATTGAAGCGGATAGACGAATCTCATAAAGAATCATTGAATCTTGCCGATTATTTTCTATACGGATGGTTGGTCGATGATAAATATAGATTCAGTCGAAAATTCATGTACTTCAGTTTCGAGTACCTCATGGGATACTTAAATGATAACTTAGATGAAGTTCTGGATTCGTTCACGAGGAAGTACAGTAAGGATTCGTTATGCGAGCGAGCTTTGACCTCGGAAATTCATGCAGTTTTGTGCGAGAAGCTAAAAGCTTGCGGGTTCGATCGTTTGAGGTCATCTCCAGCACTGGCTGTTGTGTTCAATGACATTAGTCTGCCTGCAAGTATACAAGAGATCGCCTTCAAGAAACTCTGGGCAAGCTTACCTATGGAGCTTTTACATTTTGCCTTCAGTAACTACTCTGAATTCCTAGAAGACAAGAATCCAGTGTCCCTAGAATTTTCAACTGTTCCTAGCCTACATCAGCTGCCTCCTTTCATGCTAAGGAATCAGTCGAGCCGAAGTAACAAATGGTCCGAAAAAGTGCATCGAACAGAAAGTCTCGTAGGTCCAGTACTTCCTCTTCCCATTCTACTGGTCCTCCACGAGTTTCAAAATGGATGTTCGAAACTCGAAGAAGAGGCGGGAAAATTTTCATTGAAATCCGAACTCAGCGAGCAATATGATCAAATCAGGTTCGCAGCTCGTGAGATGGCTGTGTCACCTCTCGACTCAAAGGTTGACGATGGTCCTATCGTCTCACTTTCCGACGATCAAGAATACGTTCCTTCGGATTCTCAGAAGCCGAAGAATTTCGTTTCGTATCACCCATCTGCTTTCGATTCACATACTTCGAGTAACACACAAGGTAACTCAACTGATCATGCTGCTGATGTATTTGATACCTTAATATTCAAACTAGAAGAGAAGTCCAAAAATGAAGAACTGTTCGACGGTCTCTGCCCTGTTGGGCTGAAATTTGATGTTCGGCCGATGAACTTCCGGCCAAATGAATTGAAGGCATATGGTTTACTTAAAAAGCAATTGTTAAAATGGGGAGATGGGTTTGCTGCGTACAAGGAATTTCGCTCCAAGATTTGATGTTCATCAGCTTGGAACTGCCCCAGCTGCAGAAAAGGGTATGATTTTGCCCTCTTTTAATATTTTGTGTATTATTTATTAATATTATTTAATTAAAATTAATTGATTCAAATAAATTTATTATCAATAATCTTGAACAACAATTGTAACGACTCAGATCCACCGCTAGCAGATATTGTCTTTTTTGGGCTTTCCTTTTCGAGCTTCCCCTCAAGGCTTTAAAACGCGTCTGCTAGGGGAAAGTTTCCACATCCTTATAAATGGTGATTTGTTCTCATCCCCAGTCAATGGGACATCACAATCCACCCCCCTTTGAGGTCCAACGTCCTCGCTGACACCCGTTCCTTTATCCAATCGATGTGGGACTCGTTCCTTTGTCCTCTTTGGGCTTTCCTTTTCGAGCTTCCCCTCAAGACTTTAAAACGCGACTGCTAGGGGAAAGTTTTCACACTCTTATAAATGGTGATTTGTTCTCCTCCCCAACCAATGGGACATTACAATCCACCCTCCTTCGGGGTCCAGTGTCCTCTCTGGCACACCGCCTCATGTCTACCCCCTTTCGGGGAACGGCGAGAAGATCGGCACATCATCCGGTGACTGGCTCTGATACCATTTGTAATGACCCAGATCCACCGCTTGCCAAGATATTGTTTTCTTTGGGCTTTCCCTTTTGGGCTTCCCCTCAAGGCTTTAGAACGCGTCTTTTAGGAAAAAGTTTCCACACTCTTATAAATGATGATTTGTTCTCCTCCTCAACCAATGTGTGAACCATACGTGGTAAACGTGGATCGAACATGAGACATTCAGATCTTCAATCTAACACTGGCTCAACTGAGCTATCCACACTAACGTCAATATACTTTTTTAATTTGATTATTGTACTAATTATTTACTTTTAAGATCTTATATAATTTTATTTAGTTCATTTTAATGCCAAATAATCATCCACTAAACTAAAACAAGTTTAAGAACTATAATATTTTAAATATATTATTTTAAGTATGTTCATAATATATTAAAAAGAATCCTGTGTTCACTTAAATTAATTAATTAAAAAACCATAAATAAATAGAATTAAATAAAAGATTTTATGGCTTACTTTATTTCATTTGTTATTTGGAGAACCACATGTGTTTAAATAAGTTTCTGAAACCCTAATATTTTAAAATTAAAAATGTCTAACAAACTAAATAATATTATTAAAAAGAGCCCAAATAAAAAATTGGTATTAATTTATTAAACATTGGACCGTGGGAAAACATGATCCGGTGCAGTCAGTCATATTTTACACCAATTGCACGCATGTTTCACGTGCAATTTAGATAACACCAATGGCAGGAATATTTAGTTTTTTAAGCTTAAAAATAATATTTAATAAAATTTTAAAATTTTAAATATATGTCTAATAACCTAATAGGTCTTTCACATATTTAAATATTTTATTAGGTCTTTTTGATATAAAATCTAATTTCTTTTTTATGTAAAATCTAATTTTGTGTCGAATTTAATTTTGCGTGTTTTTTTTGTTGTAAATTTTAAATAAAAATATATAGAATTAAACTGATACAAAATTAAAAGTTTAAAATTTATTAAATATTTGATAAATTATAGTTATTATTTGAAAGGTAGATCAATGGAACATAAGCAGGCGCTCACATTTTTTTGGCTTCCCTCAAATCGCGAATATTTGAAAGTTGGTAAAGACCCACCCCTTGTTTCAGTCAAAATGAGTCCTCGGGACCCCGGGACATTGGCTTCCGCCAACAATGGACTATTAAGGATCGCATACCATGCATATTCTACATTATAGCCTGCAACTGATTCAGCTTCCGCTTCTAGGGGATCAAACAGAGCTCGATTAGTTTCTGCTAGACGAGAAATAAAGAACATAACCAATACAGGGAATAAGGGAATACCAAAATGAAAGGGCTACAAAATACCTTTCGACAACTTACTAATGAACAAACCTTGTGACTCTCCCGCGCCTGTTAAGACTAGTTATCATTTTCTCTGTCTTTCTAGACACTTTCCTTGCTTCACCATACCGGCAAATGGACTAACCGACTAAGTCAGTTAAGGTTTGTAACCCTTACTAGCAGCTTTTGTGTAAAGAGAAATCTCCCTGACTTTGTTAACTTACGTAATGAGAGCACCTTGAGTATTTTCATTGTTGAGGATTATTGGGAATAAGTCTCACATTCGTTAATTTAGTGGAAGATCATGGGTTTACAAGTGAGGAATACTATCTCCATTGACACGAGACTTTTTGGGAAAGCCTAAAGCAAAGCTACGAGAGCTTATGCTCAAAGTGGACAATATCATATCATTGTGGAGATCCATGATTCCTAATCTTTCGAGGTCAAATGATATGATACGAAGATAAATGGAATGGAAGAAAAGCAAGATGCTTTGTATTTATTAATTTGGCTGAAAATGTGAATTTGATACAACAAACCAAGCAATTTCCTATACAGGCAAATCTTTTGTTTAGCCCCAACAAACAAAGGAAAAAGGATCATAGTTCAAAAATTCCAGATATTTACAGCTTAATATAATTCCCCAAAATGTATTACTTACTTACTTACTTACCAATAATGATATAATATCTCAGAGCCTTTTCCACCCTTCCTCATCTAAAGAAAATCCCTTCAGCCCTTGTTCCAACTCCATTATCTTTCTGCAACAAAAAGATAGACCACAAGGGGGAACAAAATGGTGTCTATTTCACAGAATAAGAATGAGTACAAACCGACTCGAGCGCCTCCGTGAACAATGCCGAGAAGTTGGTCAAGGCCTGGAATACCCCTGGCAATCCAGTTTGGAGATGGTTAAGCGTCAGTGCTCTTGTCACTTCTACTGCTTTGGAATGGTTTATCTTCTCTTCTTCAACTCGTTTGTGGCAAGCGACCAGCTCGACTTTCTTCTCGGCTAGAGGATCCCGAGCATCTAGAATATGCCCATTGTCGGGCCCTGTGTCTGGAAGTCCTATGCCAACCATGGAGTAAGAGTTGTAAAACTTCCTCTCTAAGTTCATGATTGATGCGGATTTTTTCTCAAATTCCCTTGATGCTGTTTCAGTACGTTTTTTTATCTTCATCTCTATAGTCTGTTTTTCAGATATCACATGAACGACTTTGGCAAAACCATTGATTGCCTCGGAAGCAAACGTGTCGGGGACACGATCCAGAGCGAGCTTCCACTGGTCACAAAATACCTCAGAAGGTTCCTTGTTGTCAGCGTAGTTGTCATTGTTGACTGGAAGAAAGGAGAGTTTAAGCCAACCATGGAGGGATCGGATAAAGTCACGTTGGAACTTAATCAAGCGACAAAAACTGGAGTGCCAAGCTGAGATGGTCGATTCGAGATCACGGGTCGCCTGGCGGTGCAATTCAGAAGTAGAGTCGCCATGAGTTGTTTGGTTAACGAGGCCTCGAACCTGTTGCACAATGTTGTTCTGGATGTCATGGTACTGGTGCATTTTTCTCCACATGTACATAAACCTGTATCACGTGATTAAGAAAATTAAGTTCGATTACAGTGTCCTGTTAATAGCTCAATCGCACACTCTGACAGTGCCGCGTGGCCCGGTTCCAGTTTCCACAGAAAATACAGAACTTAGCTCTCATGTGAAAACCTTAGAACAATAAATAATAAAAAGAGGAAAATATGAGTCAAGTCTTATCTCCTATAGAAGAATACAATGAGGCTTTTATCATTTATGCAACAAAATAGATGAGGAAGACTAAGTCCCAAGTCCACCGCTAATAGATATTGTTCTCTTAGGGCTTTCTGTTCTAGGTTTTTAAATGTGTCGGCTAGGGAGAGGTTTCCCCACCCTTATAAGGAATGCTTCATTCTCCTCTCCAACCAACATGGGATCTCACAATCCATTCCGCTTAGGGGCCCAGCGTCCCACTGGCACACCGCCCGGTATCTGCCTTTGATACCATTTGTAACCGTCCAAACCCACCGTTAACATATATTGTCCTCTTTGGACTTTCCCTCATGGGCTTCCCCCTCAAGGTTTTAAAACGCGTTTGCTAGGGCTTCCCCTCAAGGTTTTAGTTGACATAAAGAGTAACTTGCAGCAAATAAACACGGGCCTTCGAAACGAAAACAGCTAAAGGAACCTTAGAAAAATCTAGTAAAAGCATTGCTGTGAGAACCAGTGTGGATGAGAAATTACAGAATTTTCACTGGAAGGAAAGGAATTGGGAGAATGAAGTAAAAAAGGGTAGTGTTCCTCACAAAAATTAATTCTATTTATATCTCTTATCACTAATGTAATTACGGTCGCCTCCAAAGGGATTCAAAACTTCCATAACTCTATTAATCTTGTTAGGTACAACTGAGAATAGGCAAAGATAAGAGCTGATATCTCATCGACACACTTGTAGACGAGTTTATTATCTATCAAAGAACCGAGGCCAAGACTCGTCCAAATAAAACAACTCACAGTGCAAAAGCCAAATACAAGACATTCCCAGGATGACTTCAGCCGTTCAACTCATGCACGCTTAGGGTGGACGAGTTGAATCGGCTTTTTTCTTTTATTTGCAAAGTTTCGGCTGACAAAATTCAGTCACTATACAACCATTGCATTCCTAGAAGACATTGTTAGACTGGGTTCATGGAGAATCAGAAGATATTGGATTCATAGGACAGTTAATCCCATTGCAGAGCTTGAAACATATCACTCTAACCCTACTCAACAGCTCAAACAAAATATGAACTGTAGAAGGGGATGAGGGTCACTGGCATTATCGGCTAAACATGAAGTAAACAATTATGAGGCACATGCAATAGTAGTGCAGGGCTAAAGCAAGTGGCACTCTTGCAAGGAAAAATTCTATCCGAAATGATGCCATTTAAGCTAATAGGATTAGTTTCTTAGCTAGCAAATCCTTGAAGCTTCAAAATTATAAGACCAGGTCAGTTTCACTAAATTGAACAGACATTTTAAATTATAGAGGCATAGCTTCACATTTGTCCTGGAATGTGACTGCTGACATCAAATTTGAAACTCAGAGAATGGAGGGATATATTAGTTGTATTCTCATGCCAATATTGTAGCTAAATTCTCTGTGTTTTCGTTTTCGTTTCTTAATAATGTAAGAGCCTAAGCCCACCACTAACTGATATTGTCTATTTTAGCCTGTTATGTATTGTCGTCAGCCTCACAGTTTTAAAAAACGCATCTACTAGGGAGGGGTTTCCACACCCTTATAAGGAATGTTTCGTTCCCCTCTCCAACCAATGTGGGATCCCATAATTCACCCTCTTGGGAGCCCAGCATTTCCAACCAACGTGGGATCTCACACTTAATATTGCATAAAAACAATTGTGATAAAAACACGCTGAAGAGAGTGAAATTACCCGTGGCAAAGTTCAATAAGCTGAGGAATAAGATCCGAATCTCTTAGACCAACTATGGCAGTTGAAGTTGTATTGACAGCCTGAGACGTGACAATAATTAGTGACTGCAATCTAGTTATAGCAGCCTTCGTCTTATCTAGCTTGATTTCATCCTCCCCTTTGTACTCCTGACTCTGCAATGATGACAACTTCTTTTCATGTTCAATCTTCACACTTTCTCTAGCCTGAAAAGATTATTTATAGAACACATTAACCATCAAATACACCAAACATATAGTTTCTATACATGAAAAAAAAAATGAAGAAAAACAGCAAGGATTACGGCCTGTAATAAGCAAAGGTGGCTTTCGGGCACACGACCAATCTCATGCAAAAGTACAATGATTAATAACGAATGCTCTTGAGAGCATTCATCATAGTCACAAGAACATACAAACTACACTTATTCTGCAATTCTATTTTGTGATTCAAAGTTATAGATACATAATGTACCATACATTCCACAGTGTACTAAAAATAGTGAGACAAAACCCTGATAGATTCAACTCCTCCCCAGTTCTCCCCTTATTTCTAATACCATATTCAAAAAGAAAAAAGAAGAACACTGTACAATCTGATCAGTGCTTAAATTAGCAAGCATACAATCCAATGAAACGAAATAAAAATAGAAGAAAGTTCGGGATGTAATAACAAAATGCAGTTTCTTTACATCATTACATCATAAACGAACGGGTAGAACTCGAATCTACGTCTTTTATGAACTTATGAGATCAAAATGCAGCTAGTATAAGACATACAAATAGCTCCATGAACATAGTTTAACGGTTAAGCTATCGAAACGTCTGAAATTTAAATCCCCACACATATGCTCAAAAACTATATGAACACTTGGAAGTAAAAAATAAAAATAAAAAATGTAAGTGTTGTCTATTACAAGTCTCATTAATTTATTTCATTTCATTTAAAGCACCAGCCGCCATCAAGGATAAAGCTTAAAAACAGTGAATCAGGCAGACCCATTTGTCAACAAGACAAATATCCAAGGGCAATATGGTCATTAAATAATTGCACCGAAAGATGTTTGTCATTCGGACAAGACGACGTCCCAAATCACGAAAATACCACACCCCCCCCCCCCCCCCCCCCCCC